GAGAAGCTGTTGCCTTCTTAACAGTTTTCTCCCCTGTCCAGAACACGTTTACGAGATAATTATTTGCTTTCTGAGAGAAGGCAACTACTTTCCGTGTTTTCCGAAGGGCCCATCCTAGGTCCACCTGGGATTGTTCGTCCGGATCTTTGGGTGAGGTCTGACCATGAACGTAGCCAACACCTACAGAATGGCGGGACAGCCTCCATCCATTTTCTCTTGATCGTGTCGTAAGCAGATTCTTTTGTCAGCCTCACCAAGTGTTTGCCGATGTCAAGGTGCTTTTGGAGGGCAGCGAACTACTGAAACACCTTGATACACCATTCCTCTTGACACGAAAATATCTAGCTTTCTCCTTCTCTCTGTGACGGATTGGGTAGTTCTTGTGATGACCCAGGTTAAGGACATCTGTGCAGGATACAGATAACTACCTGCTTCTACGTTTGGGTTGCTGAAGATTTCCACTGTGACGAGCCTAGTGGGGCCCTGGGGTGTTCCAAACCGTGCCAGCTGGTCTGCGCTATAAAACTTTCCACCTCCAATATCACAAGCACGCTACATTCTGAAGCCTCTATTCTCGTACGACAAGTTATTCAATGCCTGCACGCCGGTTATGGTATGTTTGGTCATTGCTTTTGCGGATGGCTAAGCGCTCCTATTATAACAACAAAGTGGAAGGTCTGGCTAAAACTAACCCCAAGAAATGGTGGAAAGACATCAAATCTCTGACGGGGCAGGACACATCTGGTAAATGGGAATGGTACCATCAATTCCTAATTGACGTCATCACTAGTCCTGCAGAACTAGCGACTCAAATTAATGATTTCTTCACTAGTATAACCCAAGAGTTCGAACCTTTGATGCCAATCCAAACTCCGCCCAACGAAATTCCACCAGCGTTGCTTGTTTCCTTAGAGGAAGTTTCATCTGACTTGTGCAAATTGTCCATACATAACTGGGGGGAATCCAGGATTTAGTCAAGGGGGATTCGGAGGGGGGTTCGGAGAATTGTTCCCCTTCTTAGGGGTCCACGATTTTGAAAATTAGGTCTTCGAAAACATGATTTCCAGCGTTCTGAGAGAAAATTTAGGGGGTTCGACCGAACCACCCGAACCCCCCCTGGATCCCCCCCAGCATAAAGCGGTGGGACCAGATGGAATATCGAACAAATTTTTGAAGCAATTTGCACCCGAATTAGCACCATTGATTCAAGATATTTACAATCAATCACTGAGAGAAGGCTTCGTACCTGAAACTTTAAAACAGTCAATTATCTCACCAGTCCATAAAGCTTGCCCTCCTCAAAACATTAAATCAGACTTGAGACGAATTGCACTTACAAGCTGTTTAGCAAAAGTACTAGAGGGTTTTATAAACGAAAGACTGTTAGATCAGGTGTTTGACTCTATTGACCCACGTCAATATGCACGCCATGGACACTCTACAGTGCACGCATTAAGTTATTTAATGTAAGCTATACGCGAAGCTATTGATTCTGGTAACTGCTCTGTTCGAATATTTTTTGCTGATTTTACTAAAGGTTTTGATATCATAGACCACTCAATATTACTAGATGAACTCATATTGTTCAACATCGATCAAACTCTGTTTTTTTGGATACCTTCCTTTCTTACCAACCGAACACGGGCTGTACGTGTTGGCTCCTCCCTGTCACCATGGAAACAAGTCAATGGTGGCGTCCCACGGGGAACAAAACTCGGATCAACGCTCTTTACTGTTATGATAAACAAGCTCCTCAGGAATTGGCATGTGCGTACGAAGTATGTTGGTGACACTACTGCATTTGAGATTATTCCATGAAACTCCGTTAGTATACTAGATGTAGTTGTCAGAGATATACATGATTATTGCATAGAACACAGGATGAAATTAAATCCCAAAAAATGTAAAGAAAGGTAAGTAAATTTCATATAGAATTCGATTACTGCAATACGACCTATAACTGTTGGAAATCAAGAAGTGGAGCGAGTAGGAACTTATAAGTTTCTAGGAGTTTTAATTAGAGATGACCTTAAATGAAATACTCACGTTGAATATGTAACTGCCAAGGCAGCTAAGAAATTATACGCTCTAACGTTGTTGAAACGCGCAGGAGTTATGCCAGAAGACATGCTTAGGGTTTACACTTGTAATCTTAGATCGGTCCTAGAGTATGCTGCGGAAGTGTGGCAAGACATTCCCGTGTACCTCTCTGATGCTATTGAATCCATACAAAAGAGAGCCTTAAAAATTATATTCCCAAATTTTAGTTATCAACAAGCCCGGCCTAGACCAGGCAAAATTGACATTGTTGGTAGATCGTAGGATATCCGTTTGTAAAAAGTTGATGGCGGAAATGAGGAATGAAGACCACCCCATATCTTTCTTAGCTCCGCAAGCTATGACAAGTTTCATACCTTATCAGTTGAGATCAGGAAATACCAAAGCCATAACAACAGTGAAAAGAACAAAAATAGCAAATGACTTTTTTTGATTTTAGGTATTCGTAGACTCAATTATTATTGTAATGCTTACTATTATTATTGTAATACTTAAGACCTATTATTGTAAATAGACTTTATTATTGGCATCTAGCAAGATTCTTATTAATATCCTTGTAAAATTACACTGTTTATTCAGTTTTTTTAACTGCCAGAATTGTTAATAAACTATCATCATCATCATCATCATCATCATCACGACACACTGTTGCATAGCAGCCCTTGACTCCACCCAGCTTAGGAGCAAGATGACACTTTTATTTTGTTTTGTTTTGTTTTTTCTTAATCGAAACCTTTTTGTGAATGATAAATCAGTGAGCATACTTTTTTTAATCTCCTACACGTTTCGTCTGACAATAGCAGACTTCATCAAGGAGTTTTTACAAGTATGGTAAATCTTACCTATTTAAATATCTATTTTCGACCTGTACGCATCGTGTGAAGCAAGTGTTAAGATGTCCCCAAGATGCTGTTGAGCAGTGACATTTTTTTGGATGAGTACGTGATGTGTTTGGGAGTCATAGACTCATTGGGAGTCATAGACATGAAGCAAACGGAAGGCATCCGCAACAACGTAAGGTGGCTTAAGGTGTTGTACGTACGTGACATTTTTCAGACGTTACATGAACGTGTATGGTTGTGTTCGGGGTCACGATAACATTTTTAACCCTGAAACACATCATGTACTCGTACTTGTAACGTGTCTAGTTTATCATTTAAAAAGTTTCCGGCGAAAAAAAATTGGTTGAATTATGGTGATTAAAAGGCAGCGGAAGCGTATGCTGCTGGCCCATTTGCAGAATACAGTAATGTTTAAACGAGAGCCCGACACTGCGCAACGAAACTCCCAGGAGTGCCAAGTAACATCTGGCTTGCACATTCACGCAGGAAAGGCCATAACATTCAGGGAAAATAATGGCAGATGCAGATGAAATTTTCTGGCGAGAACCAGGCAGTTGTAATGATAAAGGTTTTTAGAACGTTCTGGTGGTGTTACCTTGAAAAACTGCTTGATAATTATGAAAGGTCACGAGGTCACGCTATAAATACCATTTTTGCGTGGAAATTTCATTATGGTGGTAAGTGGCAACAACAACACTTCCCAGTCTTATTTTCTGGAGAAATAACGCAATTCTTGAACTTGATAGAGCTATTTATATCTCCTTTCAAGCGAGAGAGCAGATTTCTCGTCGTTCACTGTATGTAAAAGCCGAAGTTGTTGTACTCGAAAACTTGTATGTCAACTAGCACGCGGCATGTTACTTTAAAATCTCCTCTCCTGTTAAAATCTCTTGATTGTAAACTGTGATGATAAACAATCAAATCAAAGACTAACAAATGTTTATTGCCGTAAGAAAGCCATATTTTCCTATTTAGCAAATCTCCTAAATAAACGACAGAAGAGAGAAACGGTACGATTCTTCCATCAATATTTCGCCTACATACCTCTCTTTAAAAGTGAAATTTCCAATTTCTACCGAGAATCTGGAAAGTTGCTTACATTTCTTATCTTCTTTGATGAATTATCTTGTTTAACGAGCAATGAAATGATCGTCTACTTTCCTAAATAACTGCCTACAGCTAGAATTGCGTGACAGGTGTAGTCGAGAGAAGCTTTCACAGTCGCAGATTTAAAAAAATGGCAGTGCCCAAAGATATTTTAATGATTTTCAGAGATAAAATAATGGAATAGAAAGGGGTGTTGAAATTAGTGTCGTAGCTTTCTGGCAAGGGGAGATATTTGATCTCAAAGTTACCAAATATTTGAGTGAATCGAAAAGTGTAAAAACACACTACTTTATTCACCTCTGTTGATTGACAA